ACGTGCTCTGGTCCATGGGGTCACGAAGAGTCGGACACGACTGAACAACACTGGATTGCCACCATGCCAGACTGTCGTTAACAGCAGTGTCAAGTCCTGGTTTGCAAACCTAATTCAAAGGCCACGATTCTCTAAATCGGAGGCAGCACACTTCTACTCTCCAGATGTTTGAAAGCTGCAACTTCCCTCAGCCCCAGCCAGCGTGGGCAATGTTCAAGGAGCTGTGGTTTGAAACATCGATAGGGCCTCAAGCTGCCGACCTCTCCTCCTAATCACTTGGGAGTCATCTTGAGTCCCTTTTAAGGAGAAAGGCAGAGGGGGGGGAGGAGATATTTAAATAAATAACATCTCTGACCAAAAGATGACATGGGAAGTGGGGCTGCAGGAAGCAAGTCACTGTAGGGCCCTGGCTCAGTTACTGTCTCTGCTGCTTAGGTTGATCCCACCACACAGATTTTGCTGTGAAGATCAGGTGGAGAAGAGAATCCTCTTCTACACAGTCTACTCTACACTATTGTGAATTTATCAGGGGATAGGCAAACATAAATGTAACTAATACAGTACATAAATAAATGTATCTAATGTGACAGTTTAAGCTATTTAGAAAAACAAGGAACAATAACTCCAATTTCCCCCCTGTATTATGGTTAGTTTTGTAAACTGTTGCATTACTTGTTGGCAAGAGATACAATTTTTCAGATTATACAAGCAATGGCCTGTTACTGATTTCACTCAAACAGCCACCCTAGTAACTTAGCTAAGAACCACAAATTCACATTTAAAACAGAACATTTTATTGAAAACACTGCTGTGCTATAGCCTTTGTTGTTCATAAGCTGCTGTGAAGATTTGTCAGGAAACATACACAAGTCCATGTCAAAACCTATCCATTATATGCAACTTACCACAGGACTGGACACGCTGGCTATCCTGCAAACTAAAATGTGTCAGTGTCAAGAAGCAGTGTGTACTTCCAAAATGCAGGGAATTTGGCCAGAAGTGCCTCATTTTTGCTTGAAATGGAATATTTGCATGGACTCAGAACTCTTTTACATCTACATGTTAGCATGTACAGACTGGAAAACTGTGCTAATGATAAACTGCAGCAGAATTCAATAACCAAGGAAATGTCCACGTTCACAGCCTTTGTGCAAATAGGTGTTTGTATACACAATCAACAAAATGGTCCTTCCTAATTAAAAAATTCTTAACCTCAACTTTGATAAAATCTCCTCCGTTTATACGTAGTACAATGAGACTTCAATTTTCCTTAGAAAAAAGTACTAAGAGCAATGCTTTAAGAACAAATTGTCCTAACAGCATTGGCTTCAGCCACATAATCCGAGGTACAGTGGTGCCTCGCTTACCGATCACTCCGCTGAGCGACGAAATCGCTTTGCAATGCTGTTTTTGCGATCGCAAAAGCGATCGCTTTCCGATGTTTCCTGTGGGGGAATTTCACTTTGTGATGATTGCGCGGAAGCGATCATCCCAAAGCCCCCGTTTTCAGCCAGCTGATCAGCAGTTCCAAAACGGCCGCCCACTGTGTTGCCACCGCAATGGAGGATCTTCGCATAAGGTCAGTTTTCAAGCCCATAGGAACGCATTAAACACGTTTTAATACGTTTCTATGGGCTTTTTTATTTCCCTTAGTGACAAAATCCCTTAGCGATGTTTTTCCTGGAACGGATTAACGTCACTAAGCGAGGCACCACTGTATATTCATTTAACAGTGATGCTCAGTGCTAGGTATTTCAGAGATTGTACAAATGTTAGTGGAGAACTGGCAGGGAGCATTTGATTCAACGCTAAAGAACCACAGATTCTTATTACACCCACGAGACTGAATGAAGAGTTCTATCCTCAAATATAGAAAAATAGTGTCTAAGAGACCCTTTCCATGGCATGCCTGCTGATTTAGTTTACATAAGCAGAAACTGAGGGGGAAAATTTCTGATAATTTCAACAGCGCTCTGACCAAATATCTTTCATCAGCACTGTAAACAACCACATTCTCCCAGGAAGTGGCAGCTCCCTCTTTGATCAGGGGACAGGGGTGGTGGCTTTTGATCATCAGATGGTCTAGATCCAGGTCACAAAGGGTGCAGAAGAATGAGACCCTCCAGGAAATTCCACCCTCTCCCTCTAGCAATTCCAAATTTATCTCTGAGATGGTGGACCACCCCCATTCACACTTCCTACTAAGGATTTGAGTCAATCTGAAATCAGGAGAAATGGGAGTATTCACTATAAAGAGAAACCTAGAATGCTGTGTCTCTTTTACATCTGGGAAGATGTAGTGCTGGATGACATCGGGGGGGGGGAGTTCACCAGCATATCATCTGTCTTAATACATATATATGCAAGCAGGTAAATGTTTACATCAGCTAGGTGCGTACTCTTATTTCCATCACCACACTGGGCAAAACGAGACTTCTCAGTAAGGATCATGTTGGTTGTCAGCCATGTTGCAAACTGAAGTGCTTTTTATCCAAAAAGTAAGCTAACTTTTTGAATAACGAGAAATAAAAAGGATAAAAAGCACTTGAGTTCGCAACTAACTTTTTGAATAACGAGAAATAAAAAGGGCTGAGATGATCTATAACAATTCTGGATCTTTAGCTCAGCAGTAGGCAAAGCATGGACTTCCCAGTGTTGTTGGACTGCAATTCCCAGCATTCCCTATTAGCTGCAGTGGTTTGGGCTGAGAGGAACTACAGTCCAATAGCATCTAGAGGCCCAAGGCTTTGCTCACTCCTGTTCTAGATGGATATCCAGATGTAGTTAGCCTGAACTCCAGGAAAAGGGCTGACCTCAATTAATACTGGAAATGGAAACAAACCCATCACTAATACTGCAGCTTAGCGAAAGCCCAGTCACGTGAAGAACAGCCCACCCATTCATCTAAGATGACTACAGGTCAGGCGTGGAAATGTCGTAACATGAAACAGGGCAGGAACATCCCCGGATGGCAGAAGAATAAGACAGTCCCTCTTCCAAGTTAAATTATTGATTTCTCAAAAGTAAATTCGCATGCTCAGCACCAGATGTAATGGGACAGTCTCTCTTCAGGCAGGGATCAATAGCTGGGAATGAAATTCCAGTTCAAGATGCATACGAGGGAGGCCATACTTGCTTATGTAGCCCCTCCTGTGGTATTGTTCCTGGGGCATCCAAAACTTTGAGACTTTGGAAAGAGACAGCACACGCACACATACACTCACAAAGAGAACTCCAAAGCCCACAGAGCTGGTGTATGTTGTGTCTTAATTAAAATAGTGAGTCAAATACTTTGGATTCCCCTCTGCCAGTTGCTTACTAAGTTGCACCATTTGTAGCCAGACTGCTCCTATTCCAAGCTCCAGACATTCATTTCCTCCTCTGAGATATTTCATTCTACTTTCCCACCCAACCCTCACTCTTTCCAGTTTTGCAACTGACATTCGGTATTCTTCTAGGAGAGGCTTGGTACTCACTCGGCTGCTGAAAGGTGAACGTCTCTTAATATTAAAAATCCGGAACTCCTAAGTCTCAAAAGTTCTCCTAAGAACATAAACACTCTCTCTCGTTTTCAAATGGCCCAACTGTAGTGTTACTGCTGTCTCCAACCTTACTGTTCCCCATTACAATTTGTGATGCGTGTGAAACATTCTGAACACCTTCTAAGCAGAATATAAATGGTAAATGTGATTGAGCAAGGATTGAAAATAAAAATGAAGAAAATGATCTTCTGGAAGGAATCTGAGATCTATGGTTGTGGGAGGGAACAAAAATTAACAAACTCGTTTTTTAAAGAACCTTGCATTTTCCTTCCTTACTCCAGCTGAAGAAAGGAACGGCTAGTTACAGCACAGCAAATTCATGCTTCTTTTCAGGAACATGCTGGGACAAGGTGAGACGAGGACAGACAGATAGACAAAATCAAGTTTTACAGGAAGCATGTTCAGCATTATTATCCCTCTTCTCCTTTTAAGGAGAAATGGCAGGGTAAAAACATTTTTAAATAAATACAATTAAATACGTTCTCCCCCCAGCCTCATGTGTTTCACTTGCTCCATGTGTTCTGAGACCATCCTTTCCATTTCCCCCATACTCTCTCTCTCTCCATCCACCCTTTAAGATATTGTCTTTCACCAATGGGTCTATTTTCAGAAGAAAAGGGGGGTAAAAATATTTCAAATAAATAAAATAAACCAAGCCCTAGGAACTTCCAACATTTCTACAAACGGTCTCATTATTATACTGCACTTGCAATAAAATTGATTATTTTTTTTATTTATTTAAAATATTTTACCCTGGTTTTTTCCTTTAAAGGACCCGAGGGATCTTGAAGTGATGCAACTGCTATGGGATGAGGAGGTGGTTTCCTTTTTTTAAAACAAAAACCCTCAAGCATCTGATAAAACAAAAAATTGAGCCATTTCTTAGAGCCAGGAAACCATCATCCTCCAAAATGGGCGTTCGTGCAAGTCATGTGACCGTAGACTTCCTGAAACCCTCCCTTCTCTTCCTGGGATACACCCTTGGCTAATCAAGGCGGGCCCTCGCCCCATTTCCGGGGGCGCTGGGACTACAAACCCCGTTGTCCCCAACCCACAGGCCCATGGGAGTTGTAGTCTCCACACATAGGCGTTTTTTAAAAAGGTGATTTTTTAAAAAAGAAAAGACCAAGTAATTTAGAGGTGGTTAAAAAAAAGCAGGCCAAGGGGGCTCCTGTTCCTCATCACGACGTGGCCTTAATGAGCACACCCTGTTACCGGGGAAGGTCGCTGTTCTTCAAGCCAAGCTCCTAATTAAGTAATGAGGGATTACGGTCCACCTCAGGGACCTGACGCAGTGGGGGTTTCAGCCCCTGCCTCGTCGTATGGGTGGAATTTAAATAATAATAATAACAACAAATGAGGAAAAAGAGGTCAAGCGCGAAGGAGGGAGGCTGGCGGGGGAGGCTTCGTCCGGCCCTGGATGGCTTTTTTTCTCCTCTGTTCTGTTTTCTTTTTTACCTGAGGATATTGTGGGCCTCCATGCTGCGGTTTTGGTTGCTGGAGCAAACCACCGCCACCCGAAGCGGCGAGGAGGGCATGGCCGGCTTGTGGCTGCCCGCCCGGCGAGGGAAAGACGCGGGGGGCTGGGAGAGATGGAGAGGGCGAGGGGGTGGCCGAAGAAGGACCACCGGCGGCGACGACGACGACGAAAGGCCCACGGCGAGGCTTCCCTTCCTCCCTGCCGACGAAGCCGGGCTCCTCTGGCGCTCACAAAATGGCGGCCGCGCCAAGCGGAAGAGGCGGGGCCTGGCGACGTGTCTGGCTTCCCCTTTGGGCGCCCCCGCCTTCCACGCTCGCTCCGCCCGCTAGCGGTCTCCCTTGACCATAGAGAAACGGAAGTCAGGGAAACAGAGTGGCCCCTCCTGGTCTCGGCTCCATTCCATTCCTCTCCCGATCTACCCATTTCCTTCCTCTCTCTATGGTCATCCTGGAGGCTTGCTGGAGAGCGGCAGCACCACCCATTCCCATCCGCCTCAATAAGTCGCCTTGGGTGCTTTTGGAGGAGAAAGGCGGCGTCAAAATATTTTAAACAAAAATAAATATTTTTAATGTGTGAATTCCATGGCAACGGTTCACTGGGCCTATCATGAAAAAAGCATAGGCCCTAAAAGCAGTGGTTCCTGACCTTGGGCTCCCAGAGGTTCCTGGACTAAAACTCCCAGAAGCCTTTGCCACCAGTTGTGCTGGCCAGGACTTCTGGGAGTTGCAGTCCAAGAACCTCTGAGGACCCAGGATTGGGAAGGACTGATTCCTAGAGATTTTGAGGGGTTTATAACTCTCAACATCTCATCCTGCAGGATGTGATGACTGGGGATGATGGGAGCTGTAGTTCCCCAGAAATACCTGAAGAGCCATGGATTCCTTGGGTGAAAGAAAACAACAAGGGAAATAATAAATCTTGTTATGACCTACAGTATGGGGGGGGGGGGAGAGAGAGAGAGACAGATTCAAAGCCCTTTGTATCCTGGGAGTTGTAGTTTTCCTGGCCCTCCTATGAAATATGGCCCAAGGAACATTGATCATCCCTTGAACTACATTTCCCAGAATACCTTATGCTACCCACAGAAGGAAACTAATACCGTAAATATACAGTAGTCCTAATTAGGGAGTGGGTGGGATTTTACCTACATCATCACTAAGAACTGCAGAGCTGTCAGGGACCCTATAGATCAAGTCCAGCCCCTGTTAAGGAGCCACAGTGGGAAATCGAACTCACAACCTCTGGCTCCGGAGACCTAAACCACTGAGCTATTGTTAATCCCTGCTCTGACTAGGAATTACTATTAAATAAGGCTTGCGCCTCAGCTTGAGAGATGGTCTTCCTCCTTCCATAAATGTATACAACTTCTATCCCCAAATTTGTTGTTGTTCTCGGGGGAGCTTGGAAAAGTTACGCTTTTATCATATTTCCCAAGTCCTCCAGAAAAGGTGGCTTCTGGGGAGTTAGTCCCGAAGGAAATTTCCCAAATTCCATCACTTGCCACCTTTAAAAAGTTACTATTTCGGACTAAGATTCTCCAAACCCCAGAGCAGTTAGGGTCCATGCTGGCTGTGAAAGGTCCAGAAGGTGTGGGTCTACCAAGTAACTTTTCTCAACGTGGCTTCAGCCCATTCACCAAAGCCCATCCTCGATTACCCTGAACATTTTTCCAAAATTGAATGTGGAGGATCCTTGAATGAAATAATTATAATTGCATGCTGCCAAGTCAATTCTGACTTAGCCTAACTGTTTTCGAGGTAGAGAAGACTCAGAAGTGGTTTCCCTTTCCCTTCTTCTGGGGAGGGATCCCTGGGACTCTGCAGCTGGCCCAAGGCTACCCAGGCTGGCTCTACTCACAGGGAATTCAAACCCCCAATCTCTGGCCAGCCCTCCTTAAAATTGTTCCTATAAACATGTGTATAATACCTTGTTGAGCTGATCACCCCTTAAACTTTTATTCAGTTTATAGTCCCACAAAATATTAATATATATTCTCACAAATCAGCTTTTGCACTATTAATGTTTATTCTCACAAATCAACTTTTGTATTATTACTATTATTATTATTATTATTAAGGTTCAACCTTTGGTTTTTGGAAGTCCTCACCCTGCAGACTTTAATTTGGCTGCAGCTTCCGGCCTCTTAAAAGCACTTCCGGTTGACCCCGGATGCACCGAATTCGCCGTACTCCTCCCGTGTAAACCACATGGGTTCAAAAGAGGCCAGTCGGGCAATCACAGAGCCGCCGATCCAGGCCGCGCAGGATCTATTGGACGGCGTTGCGATCCGTAACAAAGCGCCCTCCGGAACCTGTTGCTCAACCTCTTTGTAAAGCCTTTCCTCCAAGCCTCGGAAAACAGAGGAACCCCCCGAAAGGATCACGTTCTTGTAGAGAGGGGTGCAAATATCCTTGTCGCACCTCTTAATGCTTTCGGTGATCATGGCGGGAAGGCCAGGGGCGTCCACACCGACTGTTTGAGGGGCAAAAAGGATTTCCGGCATTTGATGGAAATGAAAGTTGATCTTCATAGTGTTTCCATCTGGGAGCGTCAGGAGCTTCTCCACCTTCTTCTGAGCTTCTAGGTGGGGCTCCAAAGCCACATAGCAGAAATTCTTCCTGAGGGCCTTAACTATTTTTCTCTTTTTCCTGCTTAATGGCGCATTGTGGTTCTTCCAAAGGCAGTTGGCAAGGTGCTCGGTTATATCCTTCCCAGCCAGATCAAGTTGGACCACCCCGTGAGGTAAACAATGCCCGTCATAGACTGGGACCGTGTGAGTCACTCCGTTTCCGCTGTCCACCACCAAACCCATGATGCGGGCCGAGGAGTAAGCAGCCAGCACAGCTTGGACCAAGAGGTACAAAGCGGGAACCGTGAACCGTTCAAACATCAGCTCTGTCATTTTCTCCCGGTTATGAAGTGGGTTCAAAGGGCGTTCAGAGAGCAGCACAGGACATGTTCTGGCTTCTACCTTCAGCTCTTCTTCATAGACATGGCGCCACAGCTTCTCCATGTCGTCCCAATCGCTAATGACCCCTCTCCTGACCGGATAATTCAACGAGACCCCTTCCTTGGAGAGAGCTCGCTTCCCGATGTAGCAGGTGTTGGCGTCCTCTTCAAAGCGGCCAACGGCGGACGGGAGGATTGACCGTGGTAGAGATTGGCCTGCGATCCCAGCTTTGCACCACCCAGAGCCGTTGTCAATGACGACCGCCGGTTTTCGCAAGACGTTCCCATCCGACATGGTTCCTTCAATTAAAAAAAAAATTAAGACAAAATGCAGTTGTGGTCTGAGAAGCTCTGGGGACCCAGGATTGGGAAGGACTGATTCCTAGAGATTTTGAGGGGCTTATAACTCTCAACATCTCCTCCTGCAGGATGCGATGACTGGGGATGATGGGAGCTGTAGTTCCCCAGAAATACCTGGAGAGCCATGGATTCCTTGGGTGAAAGAATAAATCTCCTTGTTAAGACCTATTTGGGGGAGGAGAGAGATTCAAAGCCCTTTGCATCCTGGGAGTTGTAGTTTTCCTGGCCCTCCTATGAAATATGGCCCAAGAGACATTGATCATCCCTTGAACTACATTTCCCAGAATGTCTTATGCTACCCACAGAAGGAAACTAAGAAATGTAGTCCTAACTAGAGGGGTGGGAGGGATTTTAGCTACATCATCATCATCATCATCATCAAGAATTGCAGAGCTGTCAGGGACCCTATAGATGAAGTCCAGCCCCTGTTAAGGAGCCACAGTGGGGAATCGAACTCACAACCTCTGGCTCCGGAGACCTAAACCACGGAGCTATTGTTAATCCCTGCTCTGACTAGGAATGGCAATTAAAAGAGGGTTGCGTCTGAGCTTGAGAGATGGTCTTCCTACTTCCATAAACGTATACAACTTCTATCCCCAAATGTGTTGTTGTTCTCGGGGGGAGCTTGGAAAAGTTACGCTTTTATCATATTTCCCAAGTCCTCCAGAAAAGGTGGCTTCTGGCTTCTGGGGAGTTAGTCCCAAAGGAACTTTCCCAAAGTCCATCACCTGCTGGAAGTTTAGTCTGAACATTTCCAAATGAAGCTACAAATTGTTGCCTGAAGATAATATTAGAATGATGGTCAAAGTTGTACGGTACCTCAGTTCCCCAAGAGGAAAAGGACCCACTGTGAGAAAGCTGGGTTGACATCCCAAAGGGTGAGACGTCCAAGCCAAGTGGTATCATCATGGTGTCATAGAGTGGGGCCTGATGATGTCACAAATGGCAAGGCTGGTGATGTCATAATGCAGAAGTCCCGATTTTTAAAAATGAAATAATAATAGTAATAAAAATAATAATAATCCGTTCCAGTGAAATTGCTGTAGAGTGAAATCCTCGTTAAGTGAAATAAAAAAAGCCCAATGAAATGCATTGAAAACCCTTCAATATGTGTATTCATAGACATGGGCTGGTAAGGATTTGCTCTGTTTTTTAATGAAATCAACTGGTCCTGCAGTCAGCCAAGCAACGAACGTAATTAGACTGCAGTGGAACCCAACGGCTTGAGCATCTGGGAACGGACACTAACCAAATTAAGGGTTTTCATCTAAAAACTGACACTTCAAGCCGATCGGGAGCAGTTGTCTCAGTAAGACGCTCACCGGAAAAGAAGAAATAAAAAAACCAGCTGTCAACATTTTGCAAACTTTGGGAGCTTGTAACGTTTAAGCAAAGGCAAATGCCCACTCAGAAGCCAGAGTCAAGCCATCATCTAGAACAGAATCTTATAATATTTTGATTTATTTATTTTTTCTTTATCATCACCATTATCCCAGGAGATCAAGGGTGGCATAATCTTGCTGAAAACATGGAGCGGAAGGGAAATGGCAGTAAGTGTTTCCTTTGCTCCAGCCAGATCCTTGTGGTATGTGACTCTTCCCTGCGATCCGTCATGAAACTGACCGCACAACAGGAAGTCTGCTTACCTGATTTCCTTTCCACCCAGGGTATAGAACGCAGGATCCTGGCCCTAGTTCTTCATTTCTCTGCCGGGAGATGGAAGCTATTCATCATAACCCCAGGTGTACACTAGGTGGTGCCCTAGGCTTTGCATCTTCAAAATAATTTTTTAGAAGGCAGTAAAAAAATGAAGCTAAATTCCCAGTGTGGTGTAGTGGATAGAATGACGGACTACGACTCTGGAGAACAGAGTTCGAATCCCCGCTCAGCTGTGGAAACTGATGGTGGAATGGCAAAAACCTCTCCTTGAAAACTCTATTAGGGTCCCTATAAATTGGTTCCAACTTGACAGCAAAACACACACACACACAATTGAGGCTCAAGGGTCCCCAGATGTTCTCAGACTAAAACTCCCAGAAGCTTTCCCCACCAGCTATGCTGGCCAGGATTTCTGGGAGTTGTAGTCCTAGAACATCTGGGGACCAATGTTTGCAAAGCACTGATGCGGAAGAAAGAAGATGGGGCTGCTTATAGAGATCGAAAATCCAGGTCTTTTGCATGCTTTGGTAGCTGTACAATCAATTTCGTGTCAGCCTTCCCTCATTCAACCCATCTAAGTGCTTAATTGTGGGTTTGAAGAAACATATTAAATGGAGGATGAGATACAGGATGCTTGAGACTTTTATAATGTGTTTTTATAATGTGTTTTAGCTGCCTAGAGTGGTCATAACTGACCAGATAGGCGGGATATTAATTAATTAATTAATTAATTAATTAATTACCTTTTTGGAGGTGGCACTAGCTTAAATAACTAGTACCAATTTACTATGGCACTGCACCACTGTTAAATCACCCACCCCCTCCTGCAGTGCTGTTATTCTGGCTGCCTCTTTGGGACCGAGCAGGGTGATTCATAGTGATGATTATCGCTAACTCGTTAAGGGGCAAGCGTAACACAACTAAGACAAGGCTGAAGGCCAAGTTTGATGTTTCACATCTCCTAACCCATCCCTAGCTGGAGGGGGTGACCTCTTCCAGATTGTAGGATGAATTAAGTGTTGGGTTACAAAATGGCAAAAGCTGGAAAAATGATGAAAACTGGACTGATGGGGAATGAGATCCTGGCATTTGGAAATCCCCCTTCAGAAGGGCTGGATTCTGCACCCCTCCCTGCACCTTGAGATTCTCCACCCCTGTTTTATATCAAAGATTATACAACCTACTCCTACCAACAGAAAAGAGATCCGTTGTGTCCTGTCTATAGGGAAAAATGGAATGGAAAAAATGGGGGTGGAGGGGAGAGGGTTCCCCCCTAAGCTGTTTTATATAGCTTCAAAATTTTCAGAAATTCTACCTCTCTCTCATGGCTTGGCTTGAAGGGTGATAGGGTTGGCCATGGGCTGAATTCCCTTGAAGGACGCAGGTGGAGTTCAGTACTCATGGAAGCCTTATTCCAGCTTGCAGGCTGTGGAGGGTGAAAAGGCCATGCTTTTTCAGCACCACGGCCAGCTCCCAATGAAGGTACCTTGACCACCAGGGATCACCTTAGAGAAGACTCCAAGGCTATCTTAGAAAGGCAGAGCTAAAAGGGGCCCTTATAGATCATCAAGTCCGGTTCCGCTCCTGTCCAGGAGCCACGGTGGAGAATCGAACTTGCAGCCTCTGGATCTGCAGCCAGAGGCCTCAACCATGGAGCAATCCAACCCCAGGCAGCCTGAATGAAAGATGAATATATTTATGGGGTTGGACCACGGCTCCCGGAATTCCTAAGATAGCACCTCCTCGACCTGAGATGATATTCTGTCCTGAGCCTAGGGTTCGGGAACAATGCAGAGATGATCTCATAGCTTACTGTGGAACTCATAGACACTTGAGTAGCCTTAATATCACCTAGGATTGCCCCTCTCTGAGAGACTGTGGGGGGCTTAAAGGGGCTACACTCCACCCCAGTGGTCTTGCGGGTGCTAGGAAGCCTTCTCCTCATTATCCCTTAGCCAAGAGGTCTCTCCATAGCTCCCCCCTGTCCCAATGTGGTACGATTCCAACACGTTGGACTCCACATCCCATCAACCCCCTGAACGGGAGTACAGCTAAGGTTATGCATCTCCCAAGATCTGCAGAGCACCCTGTTGGGCAAGGCGGCTTGACTGTTTCTCACAGTCAAAGGAAATGTACTCTGCACAAGCTCAGGAGCACCTTCACCTCTCCTTGACTTGGGTATATCCCGGCCTTTTCTACCCCTCCGCCTTGCCTTCCCTGAGCTCAAGACGCCTCGGTTCCTCTATGCTATCCTGGCTCTATCTATGGCCAAGATGGCCCCTGAAACAGATGGCAGGCGGTCATGAAAAACTGGGAGGGAAATAGAGTGGACTACAAACTCCAGAATCCCTGAGGTAGCCGCTGCTGGCTGGCAGACGGTGGGACATCATTTGTGTTGAGTTCCTGTGCACAGGCGAAGTCTTGTTCATGAGAGATCCTAATGAAGGCAAAGGGTTTCTCTCAAGAGGGCCATGTCCCCTCGCTCTGTCTCCTCCACCTGTTCTGCCTTGGCTTCTCTCCAGCAGCCACAGGAAAGGCAATGACTCAGCCAAAACAAATAGCGCATCCCCAACCCCTCTCAGCCTGAACTTTAAAATCTGCATTCCAGGCGGAACACCTCTGCCGTGCAAAAGAGGAGGAGGAACAGATGTATGAACAGAGCAACCCAACTAGAGAAGGGGGGCGGTGCCCACGGAGGAACAGCTTCCTAAGCCATGCCAGGCTTTTTTTCCCCCATATCTTTCCTTGTCTTGAGCTGGCTAGCTGGCTGAGTGGTTTAGTCCCTGGCTGCAGAACCAGCCTGGGTAGCCTTGGGCAACCTGCACAGTCCCAGGGATCCCTCCCTCTAGAAGAAGGGAAGAGAATTCTGCGTGTTCTCTACCTGGAAAACCATGGAATGGGTTGCCATAAGTCAGGAGTGACTTGAAAGCACATGATGATGATGATGATGATGATGATGATGATGATGATGATGATGATGATGATGATGATGATGATGATGATGTATTCCTTGTCATAAGGCCAGCACCCAGCAGCGACTTGGAAAAGACTCAGTGATGGAAAAAATTATCTCAGCCGGAGAGGAACAAGGTTTGGGGGTCAGACGCTCTTTGAACCCAAGAGGCTGGAACCCCTTTCCTGCAACCAGAGCCCATGATGCTGGTGTCTTCCTCCCCCCCCCCCCCCCCCCGAGACAACCTCCTTGAACCTGGGCTAATCTCGGCAGCCCTTAATCCTAGTTTCAGCAGAGTTTGCAAACACTGCTTTTTGGGCCCATAATCGCATGATCAGGCACTAATCATGTGAGAACCCCATCAGTATTTCATTCAGAAACAGCAATTAGCCACCAGATTGACCCAGTTTTCTCCCCCCCCCTTACATAAGCATCACATGGCAGTCAAATTCTGGGTGTAATTCAGGAACCAGAGGGGTCTAAACAGAAGGCCTTTTGCCTGCTGAAGGATGGGCCCTTTTTTTGTTTTTAAACGGAGCAGACTTTTTGACCCAGTGAATTTCATTCTCCAGCAGGATCTGAGTTTTGGCTTCCTCCCTCATGTGAAATCAACATTTGAATTCTAACCTCCTGCAAATAAATGATGTAAATCAAAAACTCTTGAGTTCTCCTGGGGAGCCGCCTGGCGTTCAAAGTCACCTTCAACTAGTCTTGCTTCTGCTGCATCTGTTTGGCAAAGATCCTTGCCGAATCCAGGCGAGGCGCCTTTCTTTACCAAAACAGGTACTGGATTGGGACCAAGTGCAACCGTTTAGTAGAGACACAAGTGGGTTGGGTACTACAACTTCCATCATCATCACTTAAAGCAGGCTAGGGAAGATGGGACATGCCGTTCCCCAACATACACTGGCATTCTAACGGGGTTAGAATGTTGCGCCAAGACTCAGAAGATGCCAGTTCAAGCCCTCCGCTTGGATTATGGGTAAGGTAGTCCCGAAGGACTAAACATTTCCCAGCTCTGGATCCATAAGGTCTTAGAAAAGGGAACAAACACCACATTTCCCCACCCCCACCCCAGCTCCTGGCCTGATCTTTCCTATGCCCAAGGGCATTAATATCCCTAAAAGCCAGGCGCTCGCTCCCTTCTGCGGCCACAAAGTAATTACAGCTCTTAATAAAATGTTGCTGGGACATTTCTCTTTATCAGCTGTCTTAATTTGCTCTGGCTTGGTAAAGTGGCTGAAAATAACTCAACCCCCTTGCCCATCCACACCACCCCGCTTGCTTGCTTTCGTCTCTACTTCTCTCTCTCTCTGCTTCTCAGGGAGGGAGGGCAAAGTGCCAAGATCAATACAACTGACCTTGGAATAGATCAAGGAGGTGGCCAGATCCCTTTAGGGCAGAAAGCCATCAGCCCTCTGAAACAAGAGTCGCTGGGTGAGTGGCCAGAAGGGGCTGCCAGGGCCTGGAGGCCGTGCACGGAGGGGCGGCCAGGGTGACACTGATGCCAATGAAGCCCGTGGAGGTGAAGCTGCCATGCAACTGTGCCTGGAAATGATGCCCACGGAGAACTGCACACCCACGCTATTTCACTCTTGCCCCAACTCCAGTGGCCGGCCAGACCTTGTGGGTCCATCTGTTTGGTGGGGCAGCACCAGCTAGCAAATGGGGCTACGATGACCCAAGAATGTGCTTTTTTTAAAAGCCTAGATTGAATCAAGGAATCTGCAGCCTAGCCGGAAACAAAAGGGAATATTCTTTGGAAGGCCACCCCGATTCCTGGAGCATCAGTCCTGGGTCTTCCAGAGTGGTCTTCAGAATCTATCCATCATCTGCAACTCTGCCAGGGAATACCAGACTCGGGTTTGTTCTCTTTTGCCTTGCCAACACCACCCCTCAGTAGTCACATTTTGCCATGCTGGGAACCTCAAACGTTTGTGAAAGATCAGTTCGAACGTGGTTGCCCCGTGGGATTATTAAATCATCCAAAAATGATCAGATCATTTGTAGCTCAATAGCCACCAGTATTCTGGGATGGGGCCTGAGAAATCTAATAAATAAATAAACACTCCAAAGTCTTGTTTAATGGCCATGCCCACTTCATCATAACATCCTTGTTCGCTTCGTTTCCCAGTTTCCCCCTCCTTTCTTTTCAAAAAGCTTGAGAAATCTTATTTACAAGCATCCTGGTGTTTTGGAGTACAGTAGCTTAGATCCCTTATTTTTGGCCTTCGGCACTGCCCACCACTGGAACATAGCCCTTAAGAACTCTTCAGACACAGAACGACAGGTCAAAAGATTCCCTTTCTTTTATTTCGTAAACCCTGTGGCACTGATCTAACCCATGCCTCTATGGGGACGTGCCCCCTCCCAAAAAAACATACCAAGTCGTATGAAGTTTTGTTGATTTTTATTTGCTCCTGACAGATGGTAACGAGAGCCAATGACAATTGAGGCTGCTCCTAATTTGCATAGCTCTGCCCTGGGTTGGTCTCTTGGTTCTGCCACACTGGGATCAAGAGACAGTGCCCAGAAACTAATTTGAAGTAACACCTATCGTTGTGTATAAGCTGCCTTGCGTGTGTTCGTTTCTGAAAGCTGGGGGTTTGATTTCATTTTTAAAAATAACGAACCACTACGATGAATACGACTCGGTCCAAAACTTAGCAGGCAACCTCGAGCAACTTTCTCTCTCTACAGTAAGACAGGAAATGGCAAGATTTAAATAAAGTAAATCATTAAAAAAAATAAGGGGGGGTGCAGGTTTTCCAAAACCACATCAGTATTGCTGTAGAAAAATGCCCCGTTAATTGCATTATCTATTTAAGAGAAACCACCAGGAAATCTGAAATGCATTCACAAATTTCTCCTGGACTAGGGTCCAGCTGTCGTTTCATTCGTCCACCAATGCAGTTAAGGCAATTCGAGGGAAATCAGTAGGTAATCAAGCCTAAGACTTTTGCTGGCATAGGGTCAAGGAAGGAAGGAGTAAATAAACAAATACATCAATACATCAATTTATCTCCCCCATACAACTAAGAGTACTCAAGCAGGAAAAGCAAGGGTAAACTTTTGGCACTAAGGCACAAAATGATTGTTTTAATACTGAGGAGTGGCTACCATCTGTGTATTGCAGAAGCCGGCAGTGGGGGGGGCAGGGGAAGCGTGAGCGATCACAGGATTTTAATTTGCTGCCTTCCATTGTTCAATGTCACTCTTAAAACTTCTTCTCTTCCCGGCTCCTCTCCAGATCCCCCCTTTTTTTACTACAGCACCCATCCACCCAGGCCTACAGTCAAGAGTGATGGGCTTTGTAGTCCCCAATAGGGGCAGGGTGCCCTATTGGAGACGAGCTCCCTTAGTCATCTCTGCTAATGACAAGCAAAAAAAGTTGCCCAACGTGACACAAGACCTGACAGAACAGAGATCAGCTCCAGAATAAGACGCTTTTTAAAAATAAAGCGTCCCGCAATCGAAACACTGCATTTTAATTTATTTTTTATTTTTTGCATTGCAGGGGGAGATGTTCAAATCCTCACCCAGTCTGGCTTTTTCTCCTTTCCAACCAGTGGAGCTCTTTACTGGGAGAGACTTTAATTAACCTCCCAAAAGGTTATTATTAGGAAGTGGGTACAGTGGGGTCTCTACTTAAGAACTTAATCCGTATTGGAAGGTGTTGAAAGGTTATTATTAGGAAGTGGGTGCCTCCGAAACTAATGTTCGCCACCTAGCGCTCCCCAGGCACAGAGGACAACAAATCCCAACATCCCCCTGGCTAGTTGGGGAATCATGGGAGGGGGTAATCCAAAAACACCGTGGAGACCCGAAACTAATGTTTCCCACCTGGCGCTCCCCAGGCACAGAGGACAACAAATGCCAACATCCCCCTGGCTAGTTGGGGAATCATGGGAGGGGGTAATCCAAAAACACCGTGGAGACCCCCACACTGGGGAAAGACACAACAGGAGGCAGATGTCTGGACAAGGGAATATCTAGATACATGAGAAATGCCAGTTACATCTAACATCCGGAGGTGAAGAAAACAGTTGAAACAGGGGAAAAGAGATCCAAAGCAGAAACATTGGAAGCTAGCTCCTCACTCCAGGGTGGCTGCCAAAATGGCAGTGGACAAGGGAATATCTAGATACATGAGAAATGCCAGTTACATCTAACATCCGGAGGTGAAGAAAACGGTTGAAACAGGGGAAAAGGTCCATAAACTGGAAAGCCAGAACATAACAGGTCTCTATGTTGGAGGTGGGTCAACTAGGGACCCATCATCAGCCAGAGGGGAACAGTCTGCTTGTTTATGTCTTGAAGAGTGGAGGATTTCATCACAATCCCATGAGAATCCTCCAAAGCTCATTGGGAAGGTGGAAACCAGAGGCAGAGAGAGAGAGAGAGAGGCAAACATTGAGCTCAATGGGCCCATTATGGCTGCTAAAGGCAGAAGAAACTGCTGTTGGGGGGACACCAAGTTCGACATCTACTCAGAAGCAATTTCATTGCTTCTTACTTGGTGGGTCTTCCAACCAAGGGATCCAAAGCAGAAAGATTGGAAGCTAGTTCCTCACTCCAGGGTGGCTGCCAAAATGGCCCTTCCCCTCGCCAGCCAGTCTTTATATACTGCAAGTAAGCTCCACCCACCTATGTGCCCTTCTCAGCCATTCCCCTGGGTCCTAAGTTCCCTCTGATTTCATACCAGCTCCACATCAAACAGAGTCACGGTTCCCCACCTTGTGTTCCCAGATGTTCTTGGACCGCAACTCCCAGAATTCCCGGCCAGCCCAGCAGGTGGTGAAGGCTTCTGGGAGTTGTTGTCCAAGAACATCTGGGAACACAAGGTTGGTAATCACTGAACAGGGAAGCCAATGTTTAGCTGGCAGGCCTAATCCGTGCAATAAGAGTTCAGCTCCACCACCTCCTGGTACCTCTCGTCTGTATTACAGACACAGGTGTAGTGGGTGAGATTGAATGTCAGCCCCATTTTACTGAGGAAGACAATGGAGAAGACCTTCCATCACGCTAGCTAAAGAGGGCTCAGGCTTTGGGATTCTTTTTGACAGCATATCCGCTCCAGGTTTCGCTCCGAACTTCACAGAAGCCCTGCCTAGGTGCTGAGCACTCTCCTCAGCATCAGCTCTGCAACCTGTAAATCTCCATGAAAGTTTGGACTAAAACCCACAATGGATCCCCCGCCTTCTGCAGCCTTCGAGTCACGCCCCAAGATAGGAGATCACCCCAAAAATAGACCCCCCTCTTTTTTCTTCTTCAAAGAAGGACGTGTAGGCATAAAACAGTTCCACCATCCCACCAGGATTCCCTTAAAAACTGGGCTTACCACATCATTTTGGGAAATTTGGATTTGATCCACCATCGTGCAAATTTCATGATCGAGCCAGGAAATCTGCAAAAATTTGCCTATGAAAATGAGGCATAAAGAAAAAACACAATACTTCACTCTCCAGAGGGCATACATAAGAGGCATTTCTTGCAACAGAGAAGGGTATATCTTTTACAGAATGGTGCCCAGCACCCACCCTTGCCAGAGAGATGAGTTAGAAGAGGCATCATCCTAGAAGAAACATATGCGTGAAGTCTGGCCACACTACAGTTCTCTCACTACAATTCCCAGAATCCCCCAAGGGGCTTCCCAGCACCACGGTGCCCATGTGCCATGAATGGAGGAGAGACATTCACTCCTGTTTGACAGAATGCCTCTTCTAGGGCGATGCTGGCAGTCTACAGTTCCAATTCATAGACACCTTAAATTAACATTTTTTATAAAATACACCAGTCCGCTCTTAATTCAAAGAGGAACCCACTGAATTGATCCATAGGATGCTGTGTGTATGTGTTTTCTTGAAGAAAAGATAACCCATTATCCACTTAATCTTTGCAACCTTCTTGCTCACTGGCTCTTACGCACGTCGTCCTCCAGCAGTAAGACACACACACACCCATCCGATGCTGTAGGGTTTACTCTTAAGTAAGCAAGAACTTTACCTGGCACACTTCCCCCCCCCCTTAGCCAGGTTTACTCAGGAGAAAGCCCTGCGTCCCGAGCCTGCCTGTCACCTCTCAAGCCAACACGGGCTACAGTCGGACGGGCCGATCCTACACGCACACCCTGCTCTCAGCCCCAGGTAGTTGGGCCCGATCCACCTAGGGAAGGTGGGCCCGATTCACGCAGGGAATGTGGGCCCGATCCACGGGGGGGCGGGGGTGTCTCCGCCTGGCTCTCTGGGTTGTTGGCGGTTCCGCGATCGCGTGGGGCTCAGTTGCCCAGCTTGCCGGGGGCGGCGGCGGCGGCGGAAGGGGGAAGGTTCTCGGTCAGATAAGCCACGAGGAGACATATGAGGACCAGCATCACGCAGATGGATCCCCCGACGGCCGTCATGGCGATCACGATGTCCCGCATGCCGGCCGGCTGGACGGTGAACTCGACGCACTCCGGGGGCCAGGAGGGCGGCGGCGGAGACGGAGGTGGATTGGGCCCACGGGCCTCGGCGGCTGAGAGGGAGCCGAACAGGGGCTGCAAGCAGAGGCGGTAGCGGACGCTCCCGTGCGCGTCGGGCAGGAGATAATCCCGGCAGGCGGCGCCCAGCTGCACGCTGTCACACTGGAAACGCGTGTAGGCGCCTTCCCACGAGCAGGAGAGCCAGAAGCCGCGCAAGCGCCGCCCCGGGTCCGGATCGGGCCGGGGAGGCCAGCCCCACTGGAGGAGGACGCTGCCGTTGAGCAGGACGTTGGCCCC